CTCTGGTCCCGGCCCCCAGCGGCGCGCGGTGCTCACCTCCTCGGCCCGCCGCGGCACTTGGAGGCAGAGGGTGCCGACCTTCGGGTGGCATTCGGTCGGAGGCGCAACCATGTGCTCAGAGCCCCTCGAAACTGGAGTCTTCGCCGCTGCCTCTCAAGTTTGCCGCGTTCAACAGCTCTAGCTGGCGCGGGGGCGCTCGAGCAGATATGGGCGGCGCTGGATTCCGTGGCAAAGCGCCTGGCTTCACCGAGTTTGTGAAGAACACGACTGCTGACATCGCTTTTCTTCAAGAGCGCAGACTTCGCGGGGCTTTGTTTCGCCGCCAGATAGCGCGGCTTCAGAGATGGGAATGGGGGGCCTCGGGGCTCAGCATGTGGAAACTGACTCAGGCAGGCCGTCTGCAGGCACCTTCGGGATTGCTCGGGAGCATCTTGATAATTGGGTGCAGCCAGGTGAACCAGCCTCTATTTTTGAGGGTCGAGTGAGTCGATATTTTCTGCGGAGCACATATGTGGGTCGACGAGCCGAAATCCTTCACGTCAGTAATTTTGGGTCTCGGAGCCCACAGGGCGGTTTTTCATGTTTTCCATTCGACGTTCCATGAAGCCCGATGTCATTCCGAGGCCGCGCGTCGAACGTTTTCGATGGCGCGTCGCGTTATGCGATGTCACGTGCGTTGGGGTCGTCAAAGGCTTGCGTGCTTGTTGCGGATCGGTTGATGTGGGCTGGGGTTTCTCAGGATTGTACATTTGCTTTGCGCTGGGGTGGTTTCGACCCCCATCCCTGGCTGATCCACCCCGCGGGTAACGTCGCAGGAAGAGTTTGATCATTTCGTTCGTAGTGCCAGCGATGCTGTCGCGGACATTGACCGCGCCACGGGGGGGGGGTCGTCCAGAAATTTCCTACCCTATTGCAGTGTTGGTTCTTCGTTTTGAAGAGACACCGCCCCGCGTCATTCCTTCCGGCCCCCTCCCTCGTCCTCCCTCTTCGCGTATCTGCCCCTGCTCTCCGCGTGTCTCCGTCGTCATCGTCCATCGTCGTCGTCGCCATCACCATCATCATCAGCATCATCAGCATTCTCGTCGTCTCCATCATCAATACCACCACCATCCTCATCAACATCATCAAAACACCCCCCTTGTTCCCCCGCGTCTCTGCTTCGCCACATCCCCCGCAAGTCTCGTGGCCTTGTGAGGTGTTCCACCGAAGGCCCCATCGGCAGGGTCCTTAGTGCGCCGCCCAGCCCATGTCGGCACGCCCTTCAGACGCTTCGTGTCCCCATGAGGAGCTCATCGGAGGTCCCGGCGGCAAGGTCCACATGCCGTCGCCCAGGCCACATTGATGACACCCTCAAACATTTCGTGCCCCTATAGGCAGCTCCACCCAACAAAATCCCAGCGGCAGGTTTCCCAGGCCGCCGCCCAGCATATTTCGGCATACGTTTCACACGCTTCGTGGCCCCACGGGGAGCTACACCGACGGCCCCACAGGCAGGGCCCACAGGCCGCCGCCCAGCCCATTCCGTCATACGCTCACAAGCTTCGTGGCCCCATTGGGGAGCACCCCCGGTGGCCCAAGCGACAGGGTCCACATGCCGTCGCCCAGCCCATGTCGTCCACGAGTGGCGCCCAGCACGGCTCCAAGAGCGCCCCAAGAGGCGCCGAGTAAGTTGCACCCTCATGCAAATAGTTTTTGTCACTTGTGGGGGTCCTCTTGGGGCCCTCTTGGAGCATTCTTGGGGCCCTCTGGGAGCGTTCTTGGGGCCTTCCCGGGGCCCCAGTGGGCCCTCGGAGGGCCCCGAGAACGTTCCCCGAGGCCCCCAAGAGGGACCCCCCAAAGTGGTACAAAGAATTCGCGCGAACGTGCAATCTGTTGTAGGCCTTTCGGGGCCCTCTGGGAGCTCTCTTGGGGCCCCCATTGGTGGCGCCTTGGGGCCTTGGGATGGCTCCAAGAGGCTTCGGGATTGCCCCAGACCGCCACAAGACAGCTCCGAGACGGCCGTCGAACACCACGGGTGAAAGCAACTGAGGCTAGGGAACAGGGCCTCTGGTAAGCCGCCACTGCGCCCCCTGGACTACCCAGACAGCGAGGGGACCTGAAACGCCCTGGGGCTCCAGGGGCCCCAGATTAGTGAAGTGAAGGTTTTTGCCATGCAAGCACCCCGAAATTCTTCACTTCACTAAACCGGACCAGGACGAACTCGCTACGCTCCAGTCCCGCGGGAGATCCAAGACTCCCGCCGCCGCCCGGGGACGTTGCTGCATTGCGGTGCTCTGGTCACTGTTAATGGCTTCCGCGGGCTGCAGCGGCGCACTTCCATGACTACCCCGACTCACGAATCCAGTGGTTGGTCTGGCTCTATGGGTTGGTTTAGTTGTGTCGGTTGATTTTA